CCCTTATAGCACCAAAGGCAGGAAGGCCCAAGAAGAAACGAAAGAAGTCTGCAGGTGAGATGTCTAAGGATGGGAAGAAGATAAATCCGGCTAGGTTGTCTCGCAAATGCGGGAGGTGTATCCGAGTTGGGCACAACAAGAAGACGTGCCCCGATGACCTGACAATTATGTCAAAACAGGTGATTTGGGTCCTAATTTTTTGAAATTTTATCCCCTTTTTTTCTTTGTTGTGTGTATGTAATGATGTTGTCTTTAATAGGCTGTTCTAAAGCAAAAGAAGAAGAAGATGAAGCCAAAAAGGAAGATGCATGAGGATCCTTCAACTACTCAACCTCATGATGATGTTGATATGCCAAATGAGGCATGGTGGGATCAAGTTTCTCTTGTAGCAGATCAGCACACCCCCATTAGTGAAGTTGGGCAATCTCAAGTTACACAAGAACTATTACCCACCCCTGCACTCCGTTAGAAGTAGACTAAGTATATTGATGTAATACATATCTGTGTGATATGTACTTTTTGTAATGGATTTGGATTTTGAAAAACATTACCAAATCAAAACATAGTGCAGGCTATATACATTACTCACTAGGGCAGTTTGATGTTTTTGTTTTTTGTCATGGATTTGTCAAATGCACCTTACAACTCCCATGCCTTCTTTTGTCAAATGCACCTTACAATTCTCCTGCCCTCTTTGATATTTTTTATCAAATTAAAAGCATTTGTTTCCTCCCCATTTAGATGCCATATAATGTTGGTAATACTTCTCACATCTACTGTCCATCATAATTCATAACAAACACATACTGAGTTTGTCTAAAAAAATGGCCAAAGGTAGGCTAAATTTTGAGTAATGCTAGGTTCACAAACAGAATACTCACAAACTTCACAAATTTATTATTTATGCTTTAAAATTTTGTTTTAAAATCATTTTAGACCATTTAATATTTTCCATTGAAGTTCACAAATAGTAAGTTTGTGAAATTTGTGACCATTGTGTTTGTGAACCAAGCATTTTCCTAAATTTTCATTTGATCATATTGAAACAAATGTCTCGGTCAAAGCATATAAACATGAATAATTCAACCTTTTAACCTTTTATTTATGTCTATGAGGGTTCTTCCACTGGTAACTATATGTAATTCCATATATCCCAAAAAAAGAGTAGAAAAAAGAACACAAAGTGTTTCACATAAACAATGCCATTACACACAACTTGAAAGACAACCTAGTTAGGAAAGGGTTTTGTTTTACATAAACCACACATAAAACACAGCTTACAAAGAGACAATACATAACTAATAACGAAATAGTTTCTCCGTTTAACATAAACAACACGTAACACACAACAACAAAGAAAGACAAGACACAACTAAGAACGAAAAGGCTAATATGGCGCCTTGTCCTCGTCTTCGGTTCATGGGCTTTGATTGTTAGTACTTGATTTCTTCGTCTTGAGCGTTAATCCATTTAAGAAGGCCATGAATGATATTCTTCGCTCTATCGCAACTTAGAGGATCGACCCATATCCAACTCTTACATATATTCCTTCTCTCTGAAAATTTAAAGATTTGACAATATCATGTTAAACGAGCACTTTCAATTATCAAACCACGTCAATAGAAATTAAATAGAAGATAATTGACTTTCGTAGATACAAAAAAGGCACAAGGTAATGAAATTGAGCAATATAAGTCATAACATTTAAAATATAAAAATATTGACAAAAAATACAAAAATTACCAATCAAGATTCAAAAATACTGAGAAAAACAAAACCAAAATTTGAAATCAAACATACCTATGGTTATGCATTTTAAGCAACATTTTTAATTGCTACGCCGCCACTGGTGCTATTCAAAATCAAACAAAAGAACTGAAAGAAGAGGGGCGAATAATCGGACAAAGAAGGGACGAGCAAAGCTTCCGGATTCATGCGTAGAATGATTGGTGTGCCCGATTAAAGGAGACGATGATACTTGAAAGAAGAGGGGCGAGTAATCGGACAAAGAAGGGACGAGAAAAACTTCTAGATTTCGGCTGACAGGAGTAATGACGAAATTAACGATTACTCCCTCCCTCAGGAAACTCCGGAAATGACTTGGGAAGCTATTAAGGAATAGTAAAAAAAATGCAAAATTTTCAAAAATGCACTTACCATAAACTTTTAAATCTCCTTTTATTATTAAAAAAGTATTAAAAAAGTAGATTTGTGATAAAATAGAAGGGTATAATTGATATTTAGCCTTAAAAAGCATACTAAAAAAAAATGGAAAGAATATTTCCGGACGGACTAAAAAGGAAAATGGGAAGAATATTTTCGGACGGAGGGAGTATATAACGATTGAACTAAGTGAGGACCATATGTGTGAATATGTGTGAAGACCAGAAATAAATGGGGACTATTTTTGTCAAATTTGATAACTGGAAACTAAATATGTACTCCCTCCGTCTTAAAACTTTCTTTCCAGAGTACTATTCCAACTTCACGGGAATTTATATTTATTTGTGTTTTTTCATGTACTATATGATAAAATAAAATATTCTTGTCATCACTTGTTTTGTTAAACTTTTGATGTAGTTTTTAAATATGTTTGTTTTATTTTTTATTTCTATACCAATATTTAAATAAAATAGATGGAAAAAACTTATTTTGAAATATGTTTGTTTTTAAGATTTTTTTTCGATCTTCCCTTTTGCCATTCCCCTCTTCCCCTTCCCTAACCCTTCTTCTTCCGCTTCCCTAACCCTCTCTCCCTCCTGCTTCCGCCTCACACAATCTCGCCGGACGGGGGTGTCTGCACAACTCAAGACCACGTGCTCTTCATCTCTTACTTCATTCTATAAATTCTCCATTTCGACTTCTTCGTCTCCGCAGTGTCCCGCGTCTACGACTAGTGGCAACGATTTGTCCAGCTGCAGCTGCAACTCCGTGAATTCTCGAAATGGAAACGGTATGCTTAATTCCTAGCCCAGTTTTGCGTCAATTCTTATTATTATTGTTTTTGAAAAATGATCTTTTTTTCCTTCTCTCTTGTTGGAAAAATATAGCCTATATTCATCTTTCCCTCAAGCGAATGTACAGAGGATAGCGGGCCTAAGAAGGATATTCCTCCGCCAGAGGAATTCTACGGGTTCACGCTTAGTGATTGTGAGCTCGCAATTATGGCTGACGACAAGGAGAGATTTCTAGATGCCATCAATGGAGAAAATGGCAGCTTACCACCTACCGTGAGTCTAAGGACTATCAATCTTGATCTATTTATGAACGATGCTTCAAAATGTGCCGAAGCAGTGCTAGAAGGAAAAGCCAAACCACTGACTTCCAGTCAGGCTTTTTGTTTTGATGGGTTTTATGAGCTTCACAATGCTGCAAGATATCGGTCCCTCAAAATCACGAGGTTGTTCGTTGAACATGACAAAAATAGAGCCATGTCCAATGCTAGATGTGATGCCAGGCTGGGTTTCTGTGAAGCTAAGGTGCTTCCTCTCCACATTGCACTTGCAATTCCTGCGTACGTCTACATCTCTTACTTTATTTCAATTTGTTCCTATGAAGGATTAGGCTCAACTGAAGAGAACTTATCTTCCCATGCCCGAATATTTTTTTTCCTTTCTTCTATGCTCTGCATTACAACTTACAAGCAAAATTTGTCTCATTTCTGTTTTAGGAATGGACTTGTCTTTGCTGATTGGGATGATAGAAATGGAGGCAGTGACGCCTTTAAGCTTATCTGTAGACTTTGTGCTCCAAGTATGAGGCACCGTTTGGAGATTGCGAGATTGATCGCCCTGAAGACAAATAAGATTGAAAAGGAAGCCCTTAATTATGCAATGGAAGGAAAAGTTGTTGAATTTGCTATTCTGTTGATGGTAGCCTCTGAAAAAGTGTTGAGGACACCACTGTCTCCAGAGATTAAGAATGATACACGTGGAACTTTATCAGGCGAAATCTTTTTTTTGTTTTCGGATTTGGCTGCAACACTGGCTCAAATTCAACAAAAGGGAAGTTGCAATACAAGTGAGTTGCAAAAGTGCATGGAGAAAAAGGTCAAGCTTAAGCAAATATTGGTATTGCTCCAAATATTTGAGACAATCGGGGACAAACTTGCTAAGTATCTTCAGTTTGAACAAGCCAAAGTATGTGGCTCCTATATACAGTACTTGTTTTTTTTCTTTTTTTGCCAAAATTTATCTTTCCTAACAACAACACATTATCCCAGTGCCTCAAAGGCTGCCACTCATTGCGAGGTAAGGGGGTCGGATGTACAGAGCCTAAGCGTCTGCCTTCAGATGACTTGAAAGTCTTTGACTAACCGTTCCTTCATTATTAAAAAAAAGCGCAGATGGTTTAAAGAACTATTTTGTTTTATTTCATCATACTCCAAAGCCAAAAAAAATGCAAATCTTTGCTAAATCCTGTCTTTTTTTGGGTCTGCAGCCCTCTTTTGTGGAGGTTACTCGACATGTGGGTCACATCTTTGAGGAAGGCGGAATTCATTCTCGGTTTGAGGTGGTAGAAGAGGATCCAATGTATGCTCTTCCTCCCTTCATATATTGTGTTTTTTACATTTCTTTGATGCACGTATTGTCGCTGGTGATTGAGTATATGCATTGCTAGAGTTCTAGGTTTCTTATAATTTAGGGTTTTGCGTTAAGTTTTTATCTTTTGAAATTTAACCATCATGATATAGACAAACTCCTCTTAAGTTTTAATACTGTGATTTTGCTGTTAAGTGTGTCATCAAAAGACTCCCCTCGTCCGTATGTGACTCATACGGTATTCGGTCATACTTGTGTGATTCACATTCTTTTCTACCTTGTCTTTGTAACATCAATAGAAATCACGTAATCTTTATTTAAAACTTTTGTGCAAATCATGTCCCAAAAATCATGAGTCGGAGGGAATAATATCGTGTTTAGGTAAAAATAAATTTTAATATGTATGAATGGTATTGAATAATATGAGGATACGGTTACACTATATTTTGAAAGAACATACTTAGGCTAGGTTCAAGTAGGCCGTGATGCAATGTTGTGAGTCACTCGAGATCCTAGCTTGAATCATTGCAATGTTGTGAGACACTTGAGATCCTAGCTAGAATCATTGCAATGTTGTGAGACACTCGAGATCCTAGCTAGAATCACGAAGAGGTTGGAGGATTGTAATTAGCATATCATAACTTGCATCATAATATTCAAAAATTATATTTAGAACTAAATCAACTAATAACATGTTCGTAATTTGAAAAAGTAAAAAGCCATAAGTGATACAACCTTTGTCCCAAAGTATTCGTTTAGTTTGACTTTTTCAATTTGAACCGGACAAGATTGGTCATCAATTAAATAAAACTTGTATTGCATATTAATACAATAATGATTTCATTATTTCATGAGGTCATATCATCCAAATTAGAACAACTTCGGGACTTCAAAATAAAGTTTCCAGTCATTGAGCATTTTACTAAATCGTCATCAAATATAACGTCTAATGCATTGCGTGATACATGCCTCTTTCAATTTATTTCTTCCTAGCAATTTTTTTATTATATCATCACCAAAACATCATTCACGGTCTTTTGCTTTGAGATTCCTTATTTTTTTATTGATGATCTCAAATGCACCCAAGTTAATACGCTCCCAACTAGATGTTCTACGTTTGAGATTCAATACATGAATGGCATGTTTTTTTAGTTCTGATGCTCATCACCTCATGATTCCCACTATTGAGTTGGAGTTTTGGCTTTAGGTCATTTTATTGCTATTGCACTACTAAAAAAAACCTTTTTTTGGCTTTGAAATCATCAAGGTAGGTGTTCTTTAGTATTTATCACTAACCATTGTGAAGGACTAGATGGTCCTTTTCAACTTCCAAATAATTTAGCTTTATAGTTGGGATTATAAGGGCTTGCTCATTTGTGTAAGAAAAGTTATTTTCCAGTTTTTTCGAATTCCTTCCATTTTTCTCCAATTCTTTCTAGCTAATAATGAGCATGTGTGTAATAGCATTGATCATTTAGTCTTCATAGTTTGCTTAAACTCTTCTTTGTAATAATGAGCTCATATTATGTATGGAATGGCTTATATTTTTTGCCCATAGCTCATATAGAATGCTGAGTTGAACATTTTTATAATGTATTTCTATTTGGTTAACATCATCTTCTAATTTCTTCATTGTCTTGATACACCCAAAAACTATTTAAATCTCTTACTTGTGGTATAATATTTTCACTGACTTTCACCTCAATGTTACTATTTCTCTCTCCGTTGATACACTTGTACTCCATATGCGCTGTTTTAGTACGACTTATACGCAAGCCATGCAACTCCAAAGCCTTTCTCCACAAGTTCAATTTCCCGTTCAAATACTCTCTCGATTCACCCACAAGGATGATGTCAACAGCAGATGGCAATGCACCATGATATGGGTTTTTGGATATGGGAACTAACTTAAATAGAACTAAAACATAATGACTTTCCCTAAATAGCATCACATGTGTTTTTTCCAATGTATCACTTTTAGTCATTATCCATTAGTCATTATCCAAGTAAATGTTTGCCATCACTAGACATCATTAAGTGCTACTACCTCCGTCCCATTGTCTTTGTCCACATTTGACTTTTGGAACTGTTCATCTAAGCACTTTGACTCATTAAATTTTCTAAATGTGTAAGCCTAAAAATAGTCATGTGTGATCTTGTTTGATTCGTCTTAATATATTGATTGTTAATATATAATTTGTATAATTTTTTAATATACAAATTACAAGATAAAATGGATTAAAGAAGTGCATTGGATGGTGTGCCAAAAGGTAAGTGGACAAACACAGTGGGACGGAGGGAGTATTTTGGGAATAAAACAAATTTCGTGCTATTTAGAGAAACGAATTAATTTTTAGTGATATTTAGTGCAAATATTTCTTCTTGGATATACTCAATGAGAACGTCCAATGCTAGTGCAAAAAGATATGGGCTTAATGATGACCCTTGGTGTAATCCTACACTGATGAGAAATTCTCTTGTTAAAAATATGGAATATTACTTATTATGACTTATCGACTAATCAATGACTAGTCACCTAGTTTCCTCTACACCGACTCGACTTGTCGACTTGATAACCATGCATTGTACTTGAGCCATACAACGCGTTGCTTCCAGGCAACAACTTAGCTTTAATGCAATATTGTGTTTGATCCATGTCATGAAAATTCGACAAAGTTTTACGTTGGTTGCCTAGACCTAACACAACCCTCCTCTTTTTACCTGGGCTTGGGACCAGCTATGTAACATTGTTACATAGGCAGAGTTTACTATAACATTTAGATAAACGTTAAAAATTATATAAAAAATAAGGATAAAATGATTATGTCATAAACTTTTATCATGTCACAATGTCACATATGTATGTATAGAGGAAAACATTTTAGTCTTATAGCACTAGACTTGATTTTTATTGCAATAACTCAACAATTATATAGGGGCGGTTAAATGATGATATTATACATGATATGTGGTTGAGGCTATCAATTTTGAGTTTCGTCTCTGCAAGGGCCTTAAAGGCGCGGGACAGTTAACAAAAGATTGGATTATACAATTTGGAGAAGATCATATTTCATGTTTCAAATCCAAATTTAGAGAGAGATTTGGGAGGGGGGTAGATAGAGCGATCATTTGACACCGACATTGAGTGTCATAATATGCCATTTGGGTTAATATTGTAGAGCGTGTTTCCTAAACCCTAAAGGTATGTCATGTAGTTGGAAAATGAGCTAATGTTGTTTGTTTTGTTAATATATAATGCAGGAATAAAAAGTATTATCGGCAAATAATTGGTTCCCCACATGGAAGAGGTGAAAACGGTAATATACTCATATTTTCTTAGTGCTATTGTATTTCTCAAAAGGGTTGATTATAGGGGAATTTACCTAAATAGCACTAAAACATAATGACTTTCCCTAAATAGCACCATATGTGTTTTTTTCCCAATGTAGCACTTTGTCATTATACATTAATCATTATTCAAGTAAATGTTCGCTATCAGTCCTATTGTTCGCTATCAGTCCTATCACTGGTCATTTTTTCTCCTTCTGGACATTATTAAGTGCTATTTAAGAAATAAAATAATTCAAGTGGATCATTATTCAAGTCATTGTTTTTGTTGCTTCATTTTGTTCTCTATCTCTACATATTTTTTTAAATACTAGTCTTGCGATGAAGTATACACATTGATTTACATAAATTTAAGATATTGTTACTAACGTAAAAAGTGTAGTGTTGGAATTTGTTTAGAAGAATGTGAAATGTGATGATCCACTTGTTCCTTTCCTTAGAATGAAATAGGAGAAGTGTAATGTGTATTTTATGATGGGTGAAAAAGGAAAGTGTAAGCTTCATTGCAATTCATTCGGAGTCATTGTTTATAATTTAAAAAGAACCTTTGGAATGAAACAATCTCTTATACTTTAAGTGAATATTTTCCAATAACATGCAGTTCCGCCCCCAAAATAAGAAGGTCGTTTACTTTTTTTGGTTTGTCCCAAAGTAAGATCATTCACTTTTAGCTAACGAATGTGTGGTTATCATTATTTATCTCATATCAATTCCAACCACTCATTTTTTTCACTGTTCTTAGACTATGTGTTTCGTAAAAATGAAATTTTAATTTGGAACGAAGGGAGAGCTTCATAAATGCACAAGTAGTGAGCTATAATTTCAACCTCTATGTTCTATATCTACATTATGTTTGAAACGCTTATGAAGTGACGTGGTGACAAAACTTGTTGACTTCACAGTATTGGGGGCTGCTGTCAGACAAAATACAACCCTTTTTTTAGAAATATGATCTGTTATTTTTTGTTTGTTTTGTTCTTGTGGTTTATGGTTTTTGGTAATAAAACAATCACGTAACAGAGTATGTAAAAGTCATCAAAATGTGCCCTCATGTCACCCCTAAGCAATTTGAACGCACATTAACTTGTTGGTGGTACATTGGAATCAAATGGGTTGATAGTATGGCTCCCCCGAGAAACTCAAATAAACTGGGAAATTTTGTGCCATCATGTTTAATCTATTGAATGGAGGAGGAGATCACTGACTTGTTGCATACATCCAGGTATTGTGCATAACGTTCTTCCATCCCGATTATCCCTTGTTAATCCTCTTCGCTATGATCTGGTATGTGCCATGTTGGGTTTTTTTGGGTTCATATCTTTGCTGTCTTATTTATGAAGTTATAGTTTCTTATTTTATTCACATAAGTTGCATTTGCTGTGGGGAGATTAGTGTTCTGTTTTCACTCATTTTGATTTCTGGGGTCGTAAAGAGTGAGT